AAAGTTCTGCCAAGAAATTGACGGGGTCATCAAATCTCCATTTTTTTGGGCCTACACTTCGCTCGTGGGTCTCATCTCTGGCTTCTTGACCGAGCTGGCCTCCTTCTGCGAGGGGTGTTCTTGCCACGAGGAGGTTCTTCAAAGGCCGAAGGGCGCCAGAACTGGCGGCAGGGGAGCTGGATGACCGAATCGAAGCAGCTTCAGCCAACGCCATCTCGCAGATATTGACCCTGTGCCGTGATCTTTCTGAAGCTGAATCATCCAACATGTTTCTGGATTGGAATGCTGCAATTGACAGAATTGTGTTTGAAGTGCAGGCGAAAACATCTCACTGGCGGCAGCTTCCCTGGCGGCTCTGCGTTTGTGGCCACCCGAACGAAGAAGTGGCTAGGGCACAGATGCGAGTTTGCAGAGACCTGTATGCGACTGAAGCTCGCCTTATGTGACTTCTTGATTGAAAGCTCGTGACCACCCCTGCCCCCCTGCCAAATCTGACGCCGCATGCGTTTTGCTCAGGCAAGCTCAGACAATCACCACAGATTGACCAGACGCTTCTTCTGCAGAGACTACGAGCCGGACCCGCAAGCAGACTTCGATCATGACACATCGCTTCGGGCAGAGGCCTGGCAGAGGGTCGCGTGTTCAGGCTAGTCTTGTCGCAACACACGGGTGTCGCACAATGATCACCAGCGCTGCCCACTGTTCCTGTTGACAGCGTGCCGCATGACAGGTTGACGACTTCATAGAAGGATCGCCCCTCAACGAGCTGCCAAATCTTGCAGTGTGGGCCGGCCTTCTGAAATGTGTCCGGATATGTGAGAGATCAATAGAGGCAGCTTGGTTTGAACCTTGTGAAACAAAGAAACAAACACATCACCACAATTAATTGGTGCGGGGGTGGTGCATGGGTGTGCCGGCACGTGTGTTGTGTTCTTGGCTCAGCCAAGGCTCTTCACAAAGACATCAAGACCACCCTGCTCAGGGCGCCCGCTGCTCGCGATGCTTACATCTCCACTGAATCTCGCTGGCCAGACTTGGAGCGCGTATTTGCTAGCCCTGCTGAGCCTTGGCGCTGCGAACAGACATACTTGTACGTTTCTTCATTTCTTCCAGCTCTTGAACTCACTCACACGATTTGCTTGACCTGCTTTTCTGCATTGTGAACATTTGTTTGTGGATTTGCATGTCTACTGTTTTTTTTAGATTGTGTGTAGCGGCCGTAAGGACTTGCGAGATGCAACAACAGCTGCTGACCTGTCTTGTCACAAGGGGCTGACCCTCGCAGTGTCGGATTTGTGCGGTGGAGACGCTTGCCGCCCTACGGCTCATCAGATTCTGGACCACGAGGCGCTCCGAAGTTTGGTTTACAGGCGGTTCCCGACCATGCTGTTCTCATCAGCAGAGACAGTTGCAGCCGCAGTGAGGGCAGGCCTCCCTCAGCCAAAAAAAAGGCAGGTCTTTCGGTGTTGGGGAGCCGGATGCTGGCACATCTCAGAGCAATTGCATCTACGAGCCGGCATGCTTTTTTTGCGATGCCACGGGTCTTGTTTGACCAGATGCCAAGCCGATTGGCAACAGTTGCCCTCGCGACATCAAAAAATAGAACTTCACCGTTGCCGTTGGCAGGTGCTTGGCGGCCCGAGGGCGGACTGTTGAAACTGGAGCCAGCGGGTGGACCGCACATGGTTGAGGGGCTGTCCATCGCAAGGGATGACGATTGCAGGGCAGTTGAGCGGGACGAGGAAGACCATCAGCAACATGCAGACGCCTTGGAGTGGCGCACGGAAACCCAAGTCGATTGAAGAGGCCTCTTGACAAGGAGGATGATCTGAGCGGAAATGATATTGCCATCCGCTTGTATGATGTGGTGGAGCGGGAGAACTGCGAGGAAATCAGGATTCGTGTGCGCCGCTCCCGCGGCACTGACATCAGCTGCGCAGACCTTTTCACCGAAACCGACTTGCAAGCCATCACAAAGACAATGATCCGGCTTGACGCCGATTCTAAGGCAGCTGTCGTGGAGTGCAGTTGCAAGTTGCTGGAGCCTTTGGTCCATGCCGGGGCATTTCCTGGCAGACAGACCAGCTTTCATGACATGGCAAATGCGGAACTGGAGCACGACATGTCGCAGTTGCAGCAGGAGGGGGTTACATTGTTATCACTGAAAGGGAGGGGTGGGATGTAGGGGCTACGGGAAGCGTAGCTCAACCTGACGTCAACCGGACCCACGGGTGAAATATGCAGACCATGGGACCCCCTGAGATGCTGAGGGTTGGCCCCTGAATGTGCTGTCTTGTGTAAGCGTGGCCGGCACGGCGGGCACCGTTGCCTAATAGACATGCATCTACATGTGGTGTCTCAATAATTTCGTTTGTATTTTCATTTGATGGGGCCTGGGCGGCCTGGGTCTGGGTTTGCGTTCAACAATAATTTATGCTTAGAAACCTAGAAAACGCAAAGGGTTTCTGAATCAGACAGCCCCATGCACCACACTCTTCAATTTGCAGAATGAAGGCAATGTGTTGTGACTGCCAGCGCTTCCACCCTGTGTAGGCCGGTCTGGCTTCGGTTTCTCCAACACCTGTGGCTCCGTGTGCCAAGCAGGCTTTTCGCTGGACGTGCTGGCGTGCCATTGGAGGATCTCACGCAGCTTGAGCTCGAATTTGCCATGACAGAGAATGAGTGGGAGCTCAAGCCGTTGCAGTCTTCATCAGATTTGGCGCGAATCCCACACAAGCGCGGCGGGAGGAAATTATGGTTCCAAGGCGCAAATGGAGCATTCTTTTCCGCATATTTGATTTGCCTGTTGTCAGCAGAAAAACTTTTCGATGCCGGGATTACAGCAGTGTATCATGGGCAAATTGCCGCATATTATCTGGCTTTGTTGGCATTGCAAGCGCGCGCCGAGAAGTCATCTCATCCAGTGGCAATTGAGGTCCTGCCATTCAAGCCCGCTGTGTATTACAGGGCATTGATTTCGGGACGTGACCCCACCTCCACACACGCGGGCCTGGCTTTGTGTGATGACGACGGTGTGGACGCCAACATGAATGAGGCGGTTGCCACCCGGGCAAGTTTGACTGATGGCCCAGACAAGTGTCATCAGGTCGCTGTGCTAGCTGAGCTGCCTGGAGAGCCTGACAGCAATTCGATGCCATCCAGGCCAGCTTCGGGGAGGCCAAGGGCAGAGCCTAAGCCGCGTGCCGATCCACCAAATCGCTTGGGCAAAGAAGCCAAGAGGCGACAAGGGCACGAAAAATCTGTCCAGTTTGGGCGGTTTTACATCGGCTATCACGAGCCATTGACCGCTAGCAATCCATTTTGGAGAGCGCTGTGCCCATATCATTTCGACTGCACCAAATCGATGCAGACCAATCAGGAGGCGTCAGAGGATGATGTGCTCCTAAGAATTAAGGCATGGTGCTTGCAAGCTTTTGAACCCAGTGTGACAGATAGGCGCTCCCACATGTTTCTTTCCCGTGTCCCCTCGCTCATCGAGGCTGGCACAGCCAGAGTTTGTCAGAGCGACTTGAAGCATCCGAAAAAAAACGTGTCCACCAGAGGTCCACCATGTCAACCACATGGCAGTTGCAGTTGTGGTTGAACATGTGCAACATGTGGGATTGCTGTTGTTTCGTAGTCCAAACACTTTGTTTTTGTTCTGACCCGTTACCAGTGTATGCTTTAAATTTGTCGCCATTGATCATTGGTTTTTGACGTCATGGTCAGATGGTTTGGGCTCACAAGCTCAGATTGTGATCGGAACAGAGAGCGTGATTTATTCCAATTTGGTATGTGTTTGGTGGCATCGCACTAGCAGCTAGTTGATCCATGACGCCGGCCCATGGAGATGCTGGATCATCGGGCAGCGAGGACTCTATCAGAACTGATACATCTTCCAGCTCCAGTGGACTGCACAATGCTCGCGGTGAGGATGCCGCAGCAGGACCGAATGTCTCCAATCCAAACACATGTGGTATTTTCATGTGGGGATGGTGAGGGAAGAGCAAGGACACATGAATCTGATCTAGGAAGCTAGATGTGTTGCCTTTCGGGTTCACGGGTTCACACTAAAAAAAAACAAAAAAACTTTAAAAAAAAACAAAAAAACGGTGTTTGAGTCCGGGAGTGGCAGGGCGCGTAGTATGCTCGTCATTTTGATGCATACTTTCAGGTGTTTAGTAGCTCCGTGTATGCTCAAAACGTCATATTTGGGCGTAGCTTTGGACGAGGGAAATACACTTCCGACCACTTCCGATCACCTCCGATCACTTCCGATCACTTCCGATCACTTCCGATCACTTCCGACCGTTTTTTTCTTCTTTTTTTTTCCTTCTCCGACCGCTTCCGACCGCTTCCGACCGCTTCCGACCGCTTCCGACCACTTCCGACCGCTTCCGACCGCTTCCGACCGCTTCCGACCGCTTCCGACCGCTTCCGACCGCTTCCGACCGCTTCCGACCGCTTCCGACCGCTTCCGACCACTTCCGACCACTTCCGACCACTTCCGACCGCTTCCGACCACTTCCGACCCCTTCCGACCGCTTCCGACCGCTTCCGACCGCTTCCAACCGCTTCCGACCGCTTCCGACCGCTTCCGACCGCTTCCGACCGCTTCCGACCGCTTCCGGACACATGCAAGGGTTCAACTCCACCCTGCGCCACCCTCTTCAGAGTTGCTACACATTTTTTTTTCGAGGCTGAATATTATAATAAAATAATATTATATATGTATATATGTTTTGATGTATTCATTCAGTCTCATAATATGAAACTACTTTGCTTGCCCTTCTCACTTGTGTTGGGTGTATTCATTCAGTCTCATCATATGAAACTACTTTGCTTACCCTTCTCACACTTGTGTCGAACTTGGGCCATCCCATTTGTTCTACACACATCCACGGATTGTTGAACAGTTCACATGTTGTATCGTGGATCAAGCATGCCCACACGCATTGTCCCTGGTGCCGGAAAGCCTTCGTCGGTGTTCGCCGTGCCAGTGGTGACGGGTGCGACTTTGAGGGAGACACGAATGCTGGCACTGGAACTGGCGAAGAAGGTGGCAGCCATGGAAGCTGCTCTTGAGGAGAAGGAGAAGGAGCAGGATAACAAAAGAAAGGCTGCCTATGAGAGGTTCAAGGCCAAGCAAGCTGCTCAGGCAGCGAAACGGTGCAAAGAGATGGAGCCGGCCTGCAAAGCCAAAGGTGTGGTGGTCCCACCCCGGAACATGCAGAACAAGGCTGCGAAGGAGAAGGCCATGCAGGAGGAGGCCAGGCGAGCTATGGAGGCACACGTGGCCACAAAGCGGATGCCCGGCGTCTGTGGAGGCCAAGCGGGCCATGGAGGCCAGGCGGGCCATGGAGGCGCAGGCCATGGAGGCCAAGAAGGCGGAGGAGGCCCGGCGGGCCGTGGAGGCGCGCTGGGCCATGGAGGCCAAGAAGGCGGAGGAGGCCCGGCGGGCCATGGAGGCGCAGGCCATGGAGGCCAAGAAGGCGGAGGAGGCCCGGCGGGCAATGGAGGCGCAGGCCATGGAGGCCAGAAGGGCGGAGGAGGCTCGGTGGGCCATGGAGGCGCAGGCCATGGAGGCCAAGAAGGCGGAGGAGGCCCGGCGGGCCATGGAGGCGCAGGCCATGGAGGCCAAGAAGGCGGAGGAGGCCCGGCGGGCCAAGCGGAGGCCGCCGGAGGCACCGGCCGAGGCACCGGCAGAGGCACCTCAGCTCACGCGAGCAGCAGCGCGCCCTGCGCATGCTGGAGAGGGTAAAAGCAAGATGATGTCCATCGAGCCCCGCAACGAGCCGCAGATGCTCCGGTGGTTCCGCAAGACCTACCCCAGCTACAACCTGCAGCCGCTGCTGCTGAAGCGCTACCAAGAACTGGAGGAGGCGCGGGCCTTCAACAACTGGCTGCGCGAGCGCAGACAGGCGCAGGAGGGGCAACGGCGGAGGAGGCCCGGCGCCATGGAGGCGCGGGCCGAAGGCGGAGCAGGCCCGGCAGGCCATGGAGGCGCAGGCCGCAGGCCCGGTGGGCTATGGAGGCGGATGTGGCCATGGAAGCCAAGTCCCTGGAGGAGGTTGAGGTTGAAAGCATCAACTCGGATGGCACCGACTTCTCGCAGAACCTTGAGAACTATGAAGAGACCGAGAAGCCCGACTCCGACATGGGGTCAGAATACTCGTACGTGGAGGTGGAGGTGGATGCTGAGCTGGACTGGAACGGGGACATCCACATGAGCGCGCTCGCCATGAAGGTGATTGAGGTGCTCTCCATGGACACGGTCAGCATCATGGATGCCTTCCCAGGCATGTCTGAGCGGGACTTTGATCTCTGGCGGCATTGCCGCTTCCAGGGTGCGTGAGCTGGGTCCCATACAACAGACTGAGCCTCGCAAACGGATTCAAGCCATTGCCAAGATGGAATATTAGTTTTTGAGGATGATATTTTTTTCGGACCCAGCCAAGCCAAGCCAGGCGATGATCGTGTGGCTGCGTTTTTTTCCACATTAAGGATTTTCGCACGCTTCTTACTCTAGACATATCGCAATGCGACTAGAGCTTATTTGAAGCGGCTAGAGCTACTTGATCCACTTGTTTGTGGCTTGCGACTTGGGAGGCCTTCCCATGCTTGCGTGAGCTGGGTCAACCCATTGCGAAGATGAGAGATTAAATCAGAGATTAGTTGTGAGAATGATAGTTTTGCGGACCCAGCCAAGCCAGGTGCTGATCATGTTTTGCATTTCTCAATTTTAGGAGCCGTCGCTGGTGGTTCAGTTCAGGAATTGCGGCACGCTTCTCACTTCGAACACGGTGTGTGTGGCTTGCGCTTGAAAACTCTTGGGCGTGACACACGGGGCTGGTTCCGGGGAAGCTCCTTTGTCGTTACATGTCGTCACTCCCTGCGCAGGACCAATGGAGCTATCATTCTGCTCAGACGACGAGGCCTTTGCGGACAGCGTGGCGAATCCGGCCGCATCAGCTGAGTTTCGGAAGCTGCCCAACAAGCGGCGCAAGGTGAAGGATGGTGATGCATTTACAGGAATTGGCGTCAACAGCATGGCCGAGGCCTTTCAATGGCACCTCCACCTCGTGCGCACATGCGCTTCAGAGTATGGGGACGCCTGTGTGGACCGTCTTGCTCGCAATTTGTCCAATGCAACCTGGTTTTCCCAGTACAGTCCCTTGGCCTGCATTTCTATGTTTCTGCATAGCCACGTTTCCATACTTTGTTCTCCCGCCGTATTTGGGTAATAGTTCACGTGTGGTCATCTTTGCTGGAAGTCCATGTTTGTGTTTCCAGCCTTGCGACGCCATCAGGTGGCATGGGCGGGATGGAGATCGTTAAGCTTCACCTGGAGAAGTCCATTGAGTACTGGGCCAGGGAGAAGAACAAGAAGTTGCTTGTTGATGGCATGCCCTTTATTTCTGGCACTTCATTCCACGCGGTGGTGCTAAAGATAGTGAGTCCCTGCACACTTGTCCCAACTGTTGTTTTCCACTACTGCATGAGTGTTTTGCACAGCATGAATAATCTTGCTGAAACCGCATATCAGGCCCGAGAAGAGTGTGAAAACAGATGCGTGCTGGAGCCATGGTTTTCATGTGATTTGTGCTTGGATATACATTTGTTTATCGTGCGGCTGGGTATTTCTATATCTGGAGTTTTGAGTTTACGGTTTTTATTTTCATGGTAGCGGAGCCCTGGCCACAACCAGGGCATCCAAAGGAACTGCGCATTTACAACAGGGCTACGGTGGTTGGGTTTGTATCAGAGCTGCAGGCTTGTCAGTTTATTCTGTGCTTGTGTGCTAGATGCAGACTGCAAATGGAGATGGAGGAGCTCAACAGGGTCAATATGACATAGCTGAAGTCCTGCGCCAACTAGGCGCAGCAGTTGAGACTGCTGTCCAAGCCGCTGGATCGGCCAGCGCATCAGTGGTGAGAGTGCAGGAGGAGCTCGCCAGGTCCAAGTCCAATGATGGATCTTTTGGCAAAGAAATCGTGCGAATTTTGGCACGACCAGAGGCTTTTAAGCCAGGAAACAGAGATGAGGAGTATAGCAAGTGGCATGAGTGGTGGTGGATCACTCGCAACTACCTGGTGGCGGTAGACCAATCATATGAAGATGAGCTGAGACATGTTGAGGTCAACCTCAACACTGAGATCAAGATCGCAGAGCTGGCAGAGGAAACCAGGCGCAGAAGCATTCAGCTCTATGCATTTCTGGTGAGCCTGTTTCAAGGCAGGCCCTTGCAGATCATGAGAGGAGTGAACAATGGTGATGGGTACGAAGGACTTCGAAGAGTGATGCAGGCTTTGCAGCCAGCAGCGAGGACACGTGCCCTGGGCATACTGACTGCGATCAGTCAGATCAAGCCGTTTGACATGAGAGACCCCGTCCTGCCACAGGTCCTGGATATGAGTCGGCTAGTGGGCAACCGTTGAGTGATGATTTTCGTGCAGCCACCCTGCTGAGATGTCTTTCAGGGAACCTTAAGCAACACTTGAATGTTATGCTTGATGACAAGACGAGGTACGACGACCTCAGAGAGGCTGCGCTCAGGTACGAACGTGCAAATGTGAGATGGTCTCCAGAAGTTGTTTTTCCTGCCAGCAGTGGATATGGTCCTGCGCCCATGGATGTTGACATCAACAAGGTCAACAAAGGAAAAGGCAAAGAAAAGGGCAAGCAAGGAAAGGGCAAAGCCAAGAATGGCGGGAAGAGCAACAAAGGCAAGAGCAAAAGCAAAGGTGGAAAGTCATCATACAACAAGGGCAAAGGCCGTGGTGACAAAGGAAAAGGGAAAGGAGGCCAATTAGAGAGTGGCAAAGGCAGTTGGAACTGGTCCAACAACAACAAGGACCCCAATCGGTGCAACAATTGTGGTGGTTACAACCATTGGGCTCGTGATTGCCCCAACAAGAGTGTGAACTTGTTGCAGAATGCAGACCAGACCAGCGCAGACAAATCGCAGCAAGCTCAGACACAACAGAACACGGCAACAGCTACACGTGGTTCTGGTGGTGGTCATGGAGGTCAACAGCAACAGGCAACTGGTGTGCGGCGCGTTCATTTTGATTTTGATGATGATGCGAATTTTGACACTGTTATTTATGACATGTGCACGGATGAGGATTTTCTTGATGGTGCAAATGACATTGGCTTGCAGATTTACAGAGTTGGCATGAGCAACATGACCATGAGCACATGTGAGTTTGACTTTGATAGAGCTTTCGACATCATAGCCGAGCAGACAGTCGCGGACACTGCATGTGCAATCAGAGGTGTGAGAGGCAAACAAGGCAAGGTTTCTGACGAGTTGATTCTTGACAGTGGCGCTGACATTACATGTCTGCCTATGAGTTGGAGCAATTCTGGCATTGGAACTGAAGTTCGTGGAGATGTTCTTATTCAGGACGCTCAAGGCAATCAGATGCCATGTGGAGGCATGTGCAATGCAACATGGGAGTTTCTGGACGCTTTCAAGGTGACGCCAGATTTGAATCAGGCATTGCATGATGAACCTGTGATCCTCAATGTCAGAGATAAGGCCGTATTTTCTTCAGTTGCACAGCCTTTGCTTGCAGTTGGAGACGAAGGACTTTGCGTTGTGCATCCAACTGACTGCATTGCAGTGCCTGTCAGGTTTAGAGGAGAGAGCATGGTCGCAAATGCAACTGTCAGACATGTTCTTGATGCAGGCACGCAGCAGGAACTGGATGTGCGAGGTGTTCATGGGAGCGACTATTTGGAGGTGCGCGTCAATTCAGAATTGGAGCAGTTGTCATATGGTTGGCAAGTCATTTCAAACAACTGCGCTGCATGGAAGGGTTTGACCACTGAGATGGATGAGTCAACTGTAAGTTTTCCTTCTTCAAGTGGATACAAGTTTCAAACATTGCTGGTGAATTTCAATGATGCTTGGAGCTTATGTGAGATGTGCGAGCATCATCCCAACATCGAGATGCTGAAGGAGTATCACAGATTTCACCGCGAAGCTATTGTGATTTTGTCAAAGAGGTCGCTGTCTGCAGACGAGATGGGTTTTTCTTGCATGGAAGGGGAGTTTGAATTTCCAGTGAGAAGCAAGAGCAGCAGTGGTGATGATGTCATTGCATCACCTGATCAGCAGGCGAGTGCTCAGGATGCAAGTGATGACATGGAGATCCCCAACCTAGGCGATGGAGAGTTGCGCCCAGCTGTAGATGAGCGTGATGAAGACATTGTTGGAATCCCTCCTGATGTTCAAGGGGCAGAAATTCCAAACAAGCCGAGTCATTTGGATTTATCCCCCAACAGAGTTATGGTTGAGGGGATTGAGTTGACTGAAGAGTCATCTTTGGCACAGTTGAGACAGGCTTGTGGACAGTTGTCTTTACCAAAGGGAGGTAGCAAGAAACGCTGTTTCAAAAGACTGGTTGAGTATGTCAGCAAGCAGCATTTGGAGATGGTTGACCAGCTACTGGAGCAGAACAAGATGGACTGCGAGCGCAGGCCTAAGGAGATTGCAATTCACAAGACACCTTCAGTTGCAGAACAGCGCTTGCATGAGCTTACACATACACCATATCAGCCTTGGTGTACTGCTTGCAGCATGATGAGATCTAGA